GTTTGCATTCCCAGCAGTGTAAGAGAGTTCCCTATTTCTCTGCATCCTTTCCAAGATCCATTCTTTCCTGAGTTTTAATTTTAGTCATTGTGACAAGTGTGAAGTGATATTTCATGTGGTTTTGATTCGTATTTTCCTGATGATGAGTGATGTTGAGCATTTTTGCATGTGTCTGTTAGTCATGTGTATGTCTTCTTTGGCAAAATGTCTGTTCATGCCTTCTGCCCATTTCTAAATTTTTTTGGATGTAGAATTTGATGAGTTCTTTATTATGGATTCTGGGTACTAGCCCTTTATCTGATAGGTCATTTGCAAATATCTTCTCCCATTCTGAGGGTTGTCTTTTAGTTTTGTTGATTGTTTTCTTTGCTGTTCAGAAGCTTTTTTATCTTGATATGTCAATATTTCATTTTTGCTTTTGTTTCCCTTGCCTCTGGATATATGTCTAGTAAGAAGTTGCTGTGGCCAAGGTCAAAGAAGTCTCTGCTTGTGTTCTCCTTTAGGATTTTGATGATTTTTTATCTCACATTTAGGTCTCTCATCCATTTTAAATTTATTTTTGTGGATAATGTAAGAAAGTTCAGCACTGTTTCTTAAAATATTCTCTGTTCCTATCTATTTTCTCCTTCTGAGATTCCCACAATGGATATTTTGGCCTACTTCGTAGTACCCTATAGATACCTCAGGCTCTATTTCCTTTTCTTCAATTATTTTTCTTCTATTCTTTGTTCCTACGTAATTTCCATTGTCCTATCTTTAAGCTCACTGATTTTTCCTTTTGCTTGCTCAATTCTGCCTTTAATTTGTCATTTCAGTTGTACTTTTCAGCTCTAGGATTTTTTTTTTTTGGGAGGGGGTATCTTTTTAGGGTTTCTGTCTCTATTGATATTTACATTTTGTTCACACATTGTTTTCTTGATTTTCCCCACAACTCCTTTAGTTCTTTGAGCAGTCTTTGACAGTTGTTTTGAAGTCTTTGTTTCATGTAACTGCCATAGGTCTTTTTCAGGGACAATTTCTGTTAGTTAATTTTTTGCCTTTCAGTGGGTCATATTTCCCTATTTCTTGAATACATTGTGATTTTTTTGTTAAATGATAGACATTTAATAATATGGCAACTCTGGAAATCAGATTCTCCTCCTTCCTTGGGGAGTGGTGTTTTTTTAATTTTTGTTTTTTTGATTGTTTAGGCTCTCTCTGTTCCAAATATGAACATAAGGTGTAAGCTTTAGGTCTTTCCTGAGGCTTTTTCTTTGGGCCTGTACAGTCACTTTCTAATTTTCCCCTTATAGGCATTTGTTTCTGAATGTCCTAATTTTTAATGTCTGGCTCCCAAAAGTGAAAAAGCAAAAAATGAAGGGAGGAAGAATGGGCACCAGCCCTTTAAATCTAGTGGAAGTCACTTCAACTGGAGGGAGAGGGGCTTACAACAATTTGAGGAGGTACAACTACAATGGTTGCCTGTCTCCTTGTCTGAACTTCTGTGATCAGAGCAGCAGTCAGTAACCAAAGCAGGTTCCTATTATTTGGAGGAGAGGGTCCTTTTTGTCCACCTTAGTTCCCAGAAACTGTGCATGCTGCTCCACAAGGCTGCCTGCCAGCCACATGGCTGAGGTTGGGGGATGAGTAACTACTACTGTGCTAAAAGCTAAAATTAACCAAAATTAACTTACCTTCCATGTCTTGCCCTGGAAGTTGCAAGCCCTTGATAGATTCCAAAATTCTAAAACAGTTACATCAGATAGATTCTGACAGTGCAGTTGTTGTCCAGGTGAGGAGACAGAATCCTTGTGCTTCTTCATCTTCTCAGGATCCTCTCTGATTGATTTTTGAGTTAGTTTTTGTGTGTGCTGTGAAAAAAGAGGCCAAATTCACTTTTTGGCATGTGTGTATCCAGTTGTTCAGCTCCACTTGTTGAAAACACTCTTGTTTCCTTAATGAAGTAACTTACTACTTTTTAAAAAGTAAACTGACTGGGGCGCCTGGGTGGCTCAGTCAGTTAAGTATCTGCCTTTGGCTTAGGTCGTGATCCCAGGGTCCTAAAATCAAGCCCCTGCTGAGCAGGGAGCCTGATGACTCTCCCTCTCTCTTGCTTCTCTCCCCCCACTCCTGTTCTTTCTCTCTTTCTCAAATAAAATCTTTGAAAAAAATAAACTGACCATGAATGTGAAGGCTTATGTCTAAATTCTGTTATGTTTCAATGATCTATAAGGCTAAAATTAAACAAACATCATACTGTCTTTCTCATTATATATTTGGCACATAATAGATGTTCAGTATTTGAGTTAAATTGAAATGGAATTGCTCAACTTATTAAAGAATGTGTGTTCTTACATTTGACATATTTTTGTCTTTTTTCTTTTGGGGTATGTGTATGTGGTGGGGGGAGTTGTGGGTGATTTATTTTTGCTTCTTTTCTCCCTAGTTTCTTATCAAACTGTCTTTATAAAAATTCCTTTCTTACTCTGTGAAGTTGTTTTCTGCCTCACTGAAAAATACTCAAGGTCAGAGTACCTTGGGGTAGGCATGCTGGTAATGATAGTAGCCATCAAAAAACAGAACTGGAATTTCACTTTTTAGAGAAGTGAAATCCAGAGGCCAATTAGTTGCTTTCATATCGTTCCTTTCTTAGAAGTTTAGCACTGTTTTAAGCATTGTTGTATTTATTATTTAAAGTGAAATCTTACCAGAATATACTGGACATATTTTGTGAAGCAGTAGACTTATATTTGTACCATTTAGCAATAGAATAACTGATAGACAAGTTATTTAACTTTAGTGAGGCCTTGATTACTTTGTGGCAAAATAATTCTTGCTCTCTCAATCTCCTGTGTTGTTAATAAGAATCAAAGTGATGTTTATGTAAGTGCTTTACAAAATACAATGTGCTACACAAGTATTTTTAATGTCATTTATTTATTAAGCAGTGATAACACATTTTTGTTTCTTTCAAACACTTTCTAAGATAATATATAGGGAAAGGAATTTGAACTTTTGGGTCATTTGCTTACAAATACAGTCGAAATGGGTAAGATTTGAGTGTTAATAGCTCAAGAATATGGGACATATGTGAAACTAATGAGAGTGAGACGAATATTTTCTTCAGTCTCTTTTTAAATTTTTTTTTATTTATTTGAGAAAGAGAGAGAGAAGCTCAAGCAGACTCCATGCTGAGTGCAGAGCCTGACACAGGGCTGGATCTCACAACCCTGAGATCATGACCTAAGCTGAAACCAAGAATTGGACACTTCACTGCACCACCCAGGCGCCCCTTCAGAGGTCTCTGTCTTTATAACAGGAAGTTGGAGAGGAAATACCACTTTGATTGAAGAACATGTAAAATTTCTAATTTAATGTAATTGAGTAGATTGTGATAAAATCTTGTCTCTTTATCACAAATATGTAGAATTTATGTAAAAATTATTTTTAAAATGTAATAGACAAGATGGAGCAATACATAGCTATAAGAATCAAGGCAGTGTGGTATGGCATAAGGATAGACATACAAGTTGACAGAATAGAATTAAATCCAGAAGGAAACTCTTAAATTTGTGGTCAGTTGATTTTGTACAGGAATGCCAACACAATCTAGTGGGGGAAGGAATAATCTTAACAAATAATGCTGGATATCCACATGCAGAAGAATGAGTTTGGACCCTTTGTTCACTCCATACACACACACAAAAAAATTACTTAAAATGGATTATAGACCTAAATGTAAGAGCTAAAATGGTAAAGCTCTTAGAAGAAGAAATTATAGGAGTACATCTTCATAACTTTGAGTGGTTTCTTGCATAAGTTGGATGCTGTCAAAAGAAATTTCGTAATACAAAGGACACTATCAAGAATGTGAAAGGAAAACCTGAAGAATGGGAGAAAATATTTCCAGATCATATATTTGACAATAGGCTTGTATCTAGACTATATAAAGAACTCTTACACTCTAAAAAGCAATCCAGTTAAAAAGTAGGCAAAGGATCTCAGTAGACATTTTTCCAAAAAGATATATGAATGTCCAATAAGCATATGAAAAGATGCTTAGCACCACTAGCCATCAGGAAAATGCAGCTGAAAGCCATAGTATGATACCATTTCATACTCAATTGGGTGTCTGTGATCAATAAAGACAGATAATGGCAAATGTTGGTGAGAATGTGAAGAAATTAGAAGTCTCATTCTGATGGGATTATAAAATGATGCAGCTGCTTTGGAAAACTATCTGGCAATTCCTCAAAAAGTTAAACATTGAGTTACCATATGTCCCAGAAGTTCTACTCATAGATACACATGTACATAAGAGAATTAAAAACATAGCCACAAAATACCTGTTCTTGAATGTAATAGTAGTAGTATTCATAATAACCCAAAAGTCGAAACCACACAAATGTCTATTAACCACAGCATGGAGAAATAAAACGTAGTTATTATTTGGTAATGAGAAATGAAGTGCTGATACATGCTATAATAATATAGGCGAACTTTGAAATCGTTGTACTAAGTGAAAGAAGCCTGTCACATAAGACCACATATTATATGGTTTCATTTATATTGAATGTCCAGAAAAGGCAGGTGTATCTGGACAGTAGATTAGTGTTATGCAGGGGACAACTGAGTGGGGAGAAGTAGGGAATGACTGCTGAAAGTTCAAAGTTTGTTTGGGAGGTGATGAAACTTATTAACTTAATTATAATTATGGTTGCACAATTCTGGATATATTAAAAACCATTGAAATGTGCATTTTAAATGGGTGAATTGTATGGTATATGCTATATGGATAATTTTTTTTTAAATCTAGCAGTACCCAACTCAAAGTATGAAGGAAAGGTCATCTAAGAATGTGTCTCTACTGTTTATCTCTTGGAGATAGAGAAGAATCAGATGGTTGATTGTCTTAGTTACCATTTTTCTTTCATTCTCCAGCCTTCTGGTGGCTGACTAGGTTTATTAAGTGCATACACTTTCGTGTTGAATGATAGTAAATCATAATTCATTTTTGACAGGAATTGAGTTCTCAGACTTTATCACATGATGGAGGATTCTTCAATAGACTGGAAGATGATGTTCATAAAATTCTTATTAGAGAAAAAAGAAGAGAACAGCTTACAGAATATAATGGAACAGATAATTGCGCAGCTCATGAACACAACCAGGCATGTAAAATAGAAAATTCTCTTAAAATCACAGTGAAATTAAAATGCAATTTTCCTTTCTTAAAAAACAGTAGAATCCAGTTATGATATGACGTTACAGTCTTAGGATATTCTTAGTCATTATCATGCATAGATACTTACATTAACATGTATCAGGTACTCCATTTAATGAATATTTACTGAGTGTGTGCTATGTGCTAGATACTGTTAGGCACCAGTATAGGAAAGTGGGAATACCAGGGTGGGTGGGACTGTCCTTCACTTAGATACTCAGAGCAGTGGGGGTAAGAGGAGGCAAACCTGTAGAGTATCATTCAGCATTATGAAGGCTTTGAGAGAGAGATGAACAATACAAATGAGGTTTTGAATAGAGACGGTATTAGCTCCCTCCTTGGGTGAGTTGTGAAAGGTGTCTGAAAAATTGACATTTGGGATGGACGTTGAATGATGAATAAACTATAAGAGAAATTGAGGGGCCCTACGGGAAGTGCAATAGCAGAGGTCCAGAGCTCCATAAGCTTTAGACTGAGTATTCAGGAAATAAAAGGTTCTGTACTGAGAAGCACAGTGTGTGTGAGGCTAGGGTAACAGGGCCAAGGAAATAGCTTGGGTTTTAGATTATGAAAGTCTTTTTATGGGGAAATAAGTTGGAATTTTAACCTGTAGACAGGAGTTGCAAACTATTGCCCTAAGAATGGCACTCACATTTTAAATATATTACTCAAAAACAAAAAAGAAAGAAAACTTCATCATATAGAGACCTATAAATGCATTTGTTTTTCTTACACAGTTGCTAGTCTTCTGCTTTGTTTATTCCTTTTATGGGAGGGTCTTAGGTATTCTTAAACTTGCGCCTATTCTTTACCTTATGTTGACCTCCAATCCATTAATAACTGTTCTCAGTCTCAAACTTGTAGTAATTTCAGTAGCGTTTCCACAAACACTTTCCTTTTACCTACTTGATTTTTTCTTCTTCCCTTGGTGCACAGCATTGGTTTTCACAGTATTGCCTACTCTCTCTAGTCTGATTTAATGTCTAGGCTGCCAGGTGTTGCTGGAAAATACATATTTTTTTAAGATAATGCTAATGTTCCGTTCTGAAAATCAGTGCTTGTGTAACTTTTGCCAGATCTTCATTTCAACATTAACAGTCCTTTGGTTCATCTCTCTCTCTGCCTGTGTAATAAACATACAGTATTATATTAGTTTCGGGTATACAATATAATGATTCAATAATTCTGTACAATTTGACTTTGATAGATTCCTACAGTGGCTATTCCAAAGTCTAAAAGCCCATTTCCCATCCTTTTACTCTTCTGTGGACATTATCTCTTTGTTGTTTCATTAAGATTAGTAAATTCAATCAACAAATTAAACACCTAAGTTGTGTTATATAGGACACAAAGGAAGTCAGACCCTTGAGAACTTTTTATTCTGATGCAGCAGTAAGATGGGTTTATAAATAACACTAACATAATTCCACATGAAAATCTATTTTCAACTTAGTAACAGGGAATCCTTGCCTGTCCAGAACTACTTGTGAGCTTCTTCCTTTCTGGCATTGAATTAAATTTAATATTTTCCTGTCTTGCTTTGTCAAATTTTATGTATAGTCTGTGCAACCATGTTAACATTTTTGGTAAGCTTATATGCTTCTCCTTTTTTCATTGGCTGTGATTCTCCCCTTTGTGATCCATATCTTCTTATTTTCTTAAAGCCATCTGAGATCATTTTTGGATAGAAAAAATAATATTAGTATATTTCAGCAAATAGGTGTCTCAAACCCTTTGTAGAACAAATTTGGCCATATAAAAGTTCATTAAATGATTAAGTAATATTAGTGATCTAATAAAACCAAAGCAACAGAGCAATATAGAACAACAGTCTTTGAAATCAACCAAGCCAAATAATACAAAATACAGTTTCTGTAGCTTATCAGCAGTGCTACACTGGGATTACGTGCCTCTCATGTATTGTTATTAAGAGTTGCAATTAATTAGCAGGTAAGATTTAAAGTTTTTATCAGAGCATGTTGTATATTGTACCCATTTAATATATAATTATTTTTGTACAGGGTAGGAAAAGGTGTGTCCAAAAAAGGATATACTGGTAAAGTGCCATAGTAATTTTCAGAAATGGAGATCAGAGATGTCTTAGGAAAAAATGGCTTTTGAATTGGAATGTAAAAAACAGTAGAATTTGAATATGCACAGGTGAAGGAGAAGAAACTATGTCAGGAGTAAAAGTATGGAGGCAGGGAAGTATAAACCAGTTTAATTAAAACAGAAGGATCTTTGAGGAGTGTAGTTTAGATGTGGTAAGGTGGGTCAGAAAAGATTGTGGAGGATTTAAAGGCCTGATTTATGGTTTAGTCAGTAGCTAGTAAAGAATTCTTTAGGGTTTTTGAGCAGAGAACAAAATTTTGTGTGATAATTTCACTGCAGTGCCTAGAAGAAAACTGAATGAAGTTAAAGACTAGTGTTAGGAACTAGCCAGTGCTCACTTATTAAGGGTATAGAACAACAGAAGCATGCCACTAGTGGTATAGGATAAATTCGTATAACCATTTTGGAAAACAATTTGGTATTAATTTTTATTTATTTGTTTGTTTATTTTTGTGGTAAAGATGCAACATTATTTTTTCAGCTTTACTGAGGTATAATTGAGATATAAAATTGTAAGATATTTAAAATGCACATCATAAAAAGTAAATAAAAAGCACATCATGATGATTTTTGATATACATTAACACTGTGAAATGTTTCCTCCCATTAATACATTTATCACCTCACATATTTATCTTTTTCTTTTTAGAACATTTAAGTTCTAGCATCTTAAAACATCAATTATACAATACAGTGTTATCAACTATAGTTACTATGTTATATGTTAGATTCTCCGACCTTATTCAACTTAGAGTGAAAGTTTAGACCATTTTACCAGACTCTCCTTTGTTCCTCTTTCCCCCAGACCCTAGCAAACAGTATTAACTTTTCAAGTTGAAAATGATGGACAGACCATATGTTCTAGAAATTCTATACTAGGGGATCCCTGGATGGCTCAGCAGTTTAGCGCCTGCCTTCAGCCCAGGGGATGATCCTGGAGTCCCAGGATCAAGTCCCACATCAGCTTCCCTGCATGGAGCTGCTCCTCCCTCTACATGTGTCTGCTTCTCTCTATGTCTTTCATGAATAAATAAATAAAATCTTTAAAAAAATTCTACACTAGATTAAACCCTGGAGACATGTTCAAGAAGAATATTCAAAACTCAGTTCATAATAAAATCAATAGGAGAAATGAAAACTACAGTTACATGTAGCAACATGGATGAATATCAAAAACATAATATTTAATTAAAAAAGCAAGTCACCGAATAATAGTTTGATGCCATTTATATATATTTCAAAAAATAGTAAATTTAAGGTATATATATGCAGTAAAAGACTAACGAAGAGAAGACAATACAAAATTCATAATAGGGGATATCCTCATGTGGGAAGGGAAAAGAATAGGATTGGGAAAAGGCACAGGGAGGATGCCAAAATTTTGGTATTTTTCAAATTCTTAATCTATTGGGTTATTTTCTTTTTACCTTATGTGTGTCATTATATATTTCTATTGCATATGCAAAATTTTTCATAATTAAAAAAATTATGATTTTCTCATAGTGTCATTGAGTATAATAGGGAAAAGAAAAAAATTGAGACCATTTAAAAAAAATACTTCTCTCTTTCCTCTCTCCATAGTACTCCTTCCTCAAGGAAAGAAAGCTCTTCTTTTGCCAGTGTTAAAATCCTCTTTTACTGCACATTAATACACCCAGGAATTTTTAAAGGTGAAAAATAAATCAACTCTAATTCACCCATTCTTGTGGTTTCATTTTTGAATATTGCTTTTCTGGGAAAATACCATGTGCATGGGTATTTAAAAATAATTGTAACAAAAAAAATAATTGTCACAATAAGGAATACAGTTTTATAGCCCCTTTTGTAAACCATGCATTATATTGTCAAATCAATACAGTGTTACTCACTTGGTCATTCATTGCCTATTATTGAATATTTAGATTGTTTAGAATTGATCACTTGATACTCATGGAACTTCTTCCTATGTTTAATATTTTTGATAAATTATTTTCTTGAAATTCTTTTTTTTTTAATTTTATTTTTTTAAAGCAATCTCTATCCAACTTAGGACTTGAACCCATAACCCTGACATCAAGATTTGCATGTTCCACCAACTGAGCCAGCCAGGTACCCCTCCTTGAAATAAAATTATCTATTTTTATTTATTTTTTTTAAAGAGTTTATTTATTTATTCCTGAAAGACAGAAACAGAGGCAGAGACATAGGCAGAGGGAGAAGCAGGCTCCCTGCAGGGAGCCCGATGTGGGATGCAATCCCAGGACCCTGGGATCACAGTCTGAGCCAAAGGCAGTTGCTCAACTGGAGCCACCCAGGTGCCCCGAAATAAAATTTTTTCAAAGATTTATTTATTTGAGAGAGAGAACAAGTGGGGGGAGGAGCAGCAGAAGAGAGGAGAGAATCTAAACAGACTCCCTGCTGAAAGCAGAGCCTGACATGGGGCTTGATCCCAGAACCTCAAGATCATGACCTGAGCCACTATCAAGAGTCATACACTTAACTGGCTAAGCCATCCAAGTACACCTTGAAAAAATTCTTACAGTAATTGAATCAAAGGATATAAACATCTTCATATCAACATTGTCTTTTAGAAGCAGGGTATCAGCTTACTAAATTGTCCACAACCTCACTGGCATTGGATAGATCATCCACTCCTGATTTTACAGACTTCATTGTCCTTGTGTATCTTTCTCTTTTGCTCTATTCTCACCTAGTCCAAACTCCTGCGCATCATGTACTCCGAACCAAGCATTTGGTTTGACTTTCGTCATTTCGGTTTTTGGTTCTGTCATTTTATCCAGATATCCAAACTCTGAACTTCCTTTTTCACTTTTCTGTTTTTGAAGGTTTGGGAGTTTTT